GTCTTCAATCCACCTCTACCGCAAAACGAAGTCGAAACGGAAACGGCCCACGAAATCGCCAAAACACCATTTAGGTCCAGCCCTGACCTGCCACCCATGTCCAACTCGGGCAGGGGTCCCCACTCGGCGGTGGACAAACCTCCCTTCGATAAACCTCCCTGTAGTGACAACGGCCTGAGACCGAAACCGACGGACCTGAACCGTCACAAATAACGGCCGTGACGCCCTCTCGCGAACCGAAAACGGCCGATTCGCGAATCGACTTGTCAGGGTAGGAGGTCTGTCCACCCCCGACCCACCTGGTCGGCCAGAGGTTGCCACGACCCTGCGGGGCGGCGCAGTGGCGTCGCTCTCTGAGCGTGCGGCCTCCCCTCGGCCGCGCGCACGGGGCGCGCGAGAGCGCAGCCTCCGGTGAAGGCGTGCTGCCGCCTGTGCGGCCCCCCTCCCCGGCCTGCCGGCTCCGCAGGCCTCTTCCGCTCTCGGCGGCAGCAGGCGCTCTGTCTAGACGGAGAAAGAACGGCATAGACATACAGTGGAGACCCATGCCAGGACCACCCTGCTTGACTCCAGGGTGCCCTAGGTTTCTTGGGTTTCGATTGTTATGCCATGGAACGCGTGACGCTCCCACGCCAAAAATCAATGAACGCCCTGAGGTCTCAGGGTTGGGTTTCTTGTGGAAGGCTCCTTGTGGACTGGCCTCCACTGTAAACTTTCGACGATCCGCGCGGATTTCTTGGATCTGCACTGGGCCCCCCTCTCTGGCGCGAGAAGCGCGCCAGGGGCGGCGCTGGAGGCACCGCCGGGAGGGGGGGGCCCAGCGCAGATCCAAGAAATCCGAGCGGAGCGTCGAAAGATTGTGCTCATGATTAGTTTTCTTCTTCGAAGCGCGCGCAGCTGGTGTTTGCAAGAAGGCATGAGTTATCATTTCTTCCAAAACCCCAGCCGCCCTGGCTCGTCCCAGGACCCCTGCCCAGCATCGTCTTCTCGGCTGCTGAAAAAAAACACCGTGCCCTGCGTCAAGTTTCACGGTTTTGCTCACCTCAGGCTTCATGCCGTGATATGAAGCCTTTCCGACAAGCACGGACAGATGTCTCATGCCAGCGTCCCACCACCACCACCTCTTCCTCCTCATCGTCCTTCCTCGTCCCTGCGTTTCCTCATTCCCCTCATCCCCATTGTCCCCCGCGCCTTCCCACTCCATCAGTCCAACACCGCCCACCTCTCCGCCCTGCCGTCCACACCGAATGCTGTATGTTCTTCCCCGCATACAACATCGCCCCTCTCCACAACTACACGATATAAGTTATAATACCTAGTTTCCCTGGCAAACGTTGCTTATTACACACACGATGGGCCCGAGTTGAATTCAAATCTGCCATGTTCGACCGAAACGTTCTCGGTATTTCAAAGATGGCACTCCCGACGCAGCGTTGGCCAGATTACAGGATGGGCGTCGTTGCTCGTCGGTGCCGCCCGCTTCACTTCCCCACCTCCAACGTCCCATGGTCCATCCTGCTGATCCCCTTCCGCTCATCGCACTCCTGCTCCAGCTGCTCCTCCTCCTCCTCCTCCTCCTCCTCCTCCTCCTCCTCCTCCTCCTCCTCCTCCTCCTCCTCCTCCTCCTCCTCCTCCTCCTCCTCCTCCTCCTCTCCTCCTCCTCCTCCTCCTCCTCCTCCTCCTCCTCCTCCTCCTCCTCCCTCCTCCTCCTCCTCCCTCCTCCTCCTCCTCCTCCTCCTCCTTCCTCCTCCTCCTCCTCCTCCTCCTCCTCCTCCTCATCAGCAGCAGCAGCAGCAGCAGCAGCAGCAGCAGCAGCAGCAGCATCATCATCATCATCATCATCATCAGCATCATCCTCATCCTCATCCTCATCCTCATCCTCATCCTCATCATCAGCAGCATCATCACACATACAAATCATCATCATACTCTCATTCGTAGATTCATTCACAACAGTATGATTAGTAGTATTGCTATTAGTCTGATTCGGTTGATTGAACGTGTTGATTTTAATCAGACTCCTCCCCCTCATCCATCAAACACGCCAGTAGTCATCGTTATCGTCATCATAATGGTAATCCCCATAATCGCCATCACCATCGTCGTCATAGGAATGCGCATCGTCATCACCAGCATCATCATCATGACCACCATCATCATCATCATCTTCATCATCATCATCATCATCAGCATCAGCATCATCAGCAGCAGCATCAGCATCATCAGCATCATCACCGCCATCATAAGAACTATCAGCATCATCATCATAATCAGCACCAGCATCATCACCATCAGCATCATCAGCATACATCACATCCTCATCAGATTCTTATTCGCACGCGCAGTCGCATGATTATGATTAGCAGTATTACTATAAGTCGCATCACCATCATCAGCACAACCATACTCATCATGGTCAGAACGCGGATCACCATATCCAGCAGCATCAGCATCATGATCATGACCATCAGCATCAACATCAGCATAATCATCATCAGCATCAGCATCATCATGATCCTCATCATCAGCATCAGCAGCAGCATCATCACCACCAGCATCAGCAGCATCATCCTCATCATAATCATCATCAGCATCATCAGCATCATCGTCATCGTCATCGTCATCGTCATCAGTTTCAGCATCATCATCATCATCAGCAGCAGCAGCATCAGTAGCATCAGCATCGTCATCAGCAGCACCATCAGCAGTAGCACCATCATCATCAACAACAACGACAGCACCATCAGCATCATCACATATCATCAGCATCATGATCTGGAGCAGCAGCAACATCATCATCATCATCAAAACCAGCACCAGCATCAGCATCAGCATCAGCATCAGCATCAGCATCATCATCATCATCATCATCATCATCATCATCATCATCATCATCACCGCCATCAGCATCATCATCTTCAACATCAGCTCTTCCTCATCATCCTCCTGGTCATCCTCCTGCTCGTCCGTCACCCCATCCTCCTCCAGTGTACACAGCTCCCCATTATGATTCCTCATCACACGATGGGTCCCTTGGGGGATCCAGGCCCGCTGGAGCACTCGTCGGCGGATCGCTTGAACGAGATCTGCGGAATGAACGGGATGGGTGTGAGGGGTAGGATGACAGACATGGCGCGGGCGCGCCTAGCCTGTCATCCACACCCGTCGGTCGCCACGTCCCCCCCGCTCCCCCTCATCCTCTCTACTCCGTCCCTAGATGATTCCCTCGCTTCCCCTGCCCCTCCTGCTCCTTCTCCTCCTCCTCCTCCTCCTCCTCCTCCTCCTCCTCCTCCTTCTCCTCTATCGTCGTGGCGCGTATCATGTCAGTTGCCTGCTGCGCAGAACTTGAAGAATCCAGGTGAGAAGGAGAAGGGGGAGGCAGACACGACTCCATATGGGATGCGACCATAGAAAGCCATACCTGAATGTCACAGCCACTCCTCCTTCCCATTCTCTCCTCCTTATACACACGTATACACACGTATTCTCTCCTCCTTGTGACATACATGCATACACAAGTATATATATAGAGAGAGAGAGATGTAGTAGAACCATCGCGCGCTTCGCGCGCGCTCAGGTCCTCCTGAATCCCAGCTGGCAGTGAGATGCCGAGGGCTGGGCGACAGTTGCGGATATGGTTTTATTCCGAATGCGCTGCGGAAGCACGTAGCGGTTTGGAGGTCGCGAGAGGGGAGAAGAGTCCAGGAGCATGACGGCGGCGAAGACGAGGGGCCCCTCCGCCGACCGACTAGCAGGAGCAGCGGCCAGTGCCCGCCTCCCCCCGCCGGCGCACTGCTTGGAACGCGACTTCCAGCCGACGGCACTCGCCGCAGCGCCGCGGGTGCTCGCCGCGGTCGAACTGGCGGCTTTGCGCGCCCACCACGAGAGCCGCGGGCCCGAGTGCCCGCGCGTGCGCCGTCGATGGACAGCGCCCCGCGCCGCCCAAAGAGCCAGGCCCCGCCAGCGGTGCCACGCCGGCGAACCCGGGCAGCGATTGACGATCGCGGGGCCGTCGCGCCTCCTGCGCTGACCGAAGCAGCGCGCGCCCTCTGATCGCAGGCGCCGCGTCGCAGGCGCACGCAGCGGCGCAGGGCCTGGGCAGGGTGGCGTGCCTGCGCTGCGGCACCTCGGCGGCGCGATGGGCGCAGCTTTCGGCGAGGCTTTACCCAGGGTGGGCGCCGGCGCTGCCCCCGCGAGCGGCCGTGCTGCTGCTGGCGCCCGCTTTGCGCGATGGCGGCGGCGCGGAGGCCTGGCGCGCCGCCTTGGAGGCGCGACTGCAAGCCTGGCTGGGGCCGCCGGACTAATTAGTTGCATTGTGCATGCTCCTCCTCCTCCTCCTCCTCCTCCTCCTCCTCCTCCTCCTCCTCCTCCTGCTCATCCTCCTGCTCATCCTCCTGCTCCTCCTCCTCCTCCTCATCATCATCCCCCCTTTCCCTTCCCCCCCTCAGCCGCGGGGCACCTGTGCGCATGGTGAAAAAGTGTGTCCGCAGCAGCCCACGAAGCGCAAGTATATGATCCCAAAGATGAGCTTGAAACATGGGCGACGCAAGAGGAACATCAGCAGGCTTCAACACGAATTTGACTTTGCGTTGGCTGATGTCCTCTGCCTGGCCGATGCAAAGGTGCACCTGACAATATCGGGCAATATGCTCACGACCGAGCAACGGCATCCGGCATCAGGAGGGGGGAGGTCAAGTAAATTGTGGAAGCCGCCCCCTAAGCAGGCGCTTGATCAAAACGGCTTGATGCTGCTGATGATGGCGATGATGGTGATGCTGATGAGGATCATGGTAGTGGTGGTGATGGTGATGCTGCTGATGATGATGATGATGATGATGATGATGATGATGATGATGATGATGATGATGATGATGATGATGATGATGATGATGATGATGATGATGATGATGATGATGATGATGATGATGCCGATGATGATATGCATCCCCACCATGACATTGGGCACTGAGTGGGGTGTGTCCTCACGCCCTCCCTCCCCTCGCCCCAGGGCCTCTGCCACATCGGCGTCGAGCGCGCCGCCAGCCATCCCGCCAACGGAGAGCGCCCCGTCCTCGGAGCGTCATGGGGGGGGGACGAGACAGGGGAACGCGGAAGGCGGAAGGCGGATCGACCTGAGCCCGCAGACCCGGGTCCAGGAGAAGAAGACAGCCTGCAACGGAGGGGCCCGCGAGCGCGCGAGGGGGGGCCGAGAGAGAGGCCGTGAGGACGACTGCCGCGCGAAAACGACGCGAGCTTGGCCCGAGGGGCCGGCCGGGCGAGCGGCACGGGCGTGCCACGGCCGCAGGAGTGGGCCACGAGGAGGAGGGAGGCAGAGGGAGGAGGAGGAGGGAGGCAGGAGGAGGAGCAGAAGGAGGAGGAGGAGGGCCACGAGGAGGAGGAGGAGGGGGGGTGGGCAACGAGGAGGAGGAGGAGGGCCACGAGGAGGAGGGCCACGAGGAGGAGGGCCACGAGGAGGAGGAGGGGGGGTGGGCCACGAGGAGGAGGAGGGGGGGTGGAGGGGGAGGCAGGAGCGGCGGAGGAGCCCCGGGGGGGACGGGATCATGGGGCGGAGGCTGGAGGCAGGCGGGAGCCCGGAGGGAGGGGGGGAGGAGGGGGGAGGCGCCGAGGACGGGGGGGGGCGGGCAAAAGAGGAGGACAAAGAGAGGCGCACGGAGGAGGGCAGTGGGGCCAAGAAAGGCAAGGAGGGAGACGAGGATGCTGTTCCCCCCTCCAACCTCAAACCTCCAAGTTATCCTTCAGACGGCCGACGCGACCTGGGCAGCAAAAGCCGAGCAACAGCACGGAGGTATGGTTGGTGAACGCGGTCGCGCCGAAAGTCGCCAGGTGCAGCCGAACTTCCGTGACGATGGGGCGTCGGCTGAGGATCGAAACTCCGCGTTGGTCCCAGCTGCGACCATATCTACGAGGAACACTCGGGGACACCCAAGGAGGGGCGTAATGAGCCGCGAGTCCCTGCCGAAGCCCACGAATCCTTGCGTCAAAGTTCTGGCTGTACGAGGGATCCTAGCAGAGAGGGCAAGGTAGGGACGGGACGGGGGGAGCGAGATAGTGAGGAGCAGAGGGAGGGGAGGATCGAGGATCGAAGTTCGAGGGTCGAAATATTTTTAATGTGTTCGCTTTTCAGGGGGAGGGGGGCTCAGCATCTGGGGCGGGGGCAGAGACTTCTAGGGACCTCCAGAAACCTCCAGTACCTCCACCTCCACCACCACCACCACTACCACATTCCTCATGCTCCCTCCGCCTCCTCCTCCTAATCCGTCTTTTTCTCCTCCTCCTGCTTCTCCTCCTCCCCCTCCCCCTCCCCCACCTCCTCATCCTCCTCCACCTCCTCCTCCTCCTCCTCCTCCTCCTCCTCCTCCTCCACCTCCTCCTCCTCCTCCTCCTCCTCCTCCTCCTCCTCGTTAACCAGACCTGAATCCGACGACTTTTACGTTGATCAAACCTGAATCCTACGATTGTGGCGCTCCCGAATGAAAATGAAAAACCACTCGGGTCAAAAACACAAGGCGGGCACCGCGGAAAATCTAAGAGAGCGAGCGCTGGTGACAAAGATTAGTGAGAGTAGGCGCCCGCCAGGGGTGACGGCACTCACCTTAGTGGGATAAAACAACGACAGAAGGTATAACAACAAGGAGTGGTAGCCACCCTAGATCTATGGCATCGTCGTCATCATCATCATCATCATCATCATCATCATCATCATCATCATCATCATCATCATCATCATCATCATCATCATCATCATCATCATCATCATCATCATCATCATCATCATCATCATCATCATCATCATCATCATCATCATCATCATCATCATCATCATCATCATCATCATCATCATCATCATCATCATCATCATCATCATCAGCAGCAGCAGCAGAAGCATCCTCAGCATCATCATCATCATCATAAGCAGAATCATCAGCATCATCAACAACATGAACATCCTCATCGACATCATCATCAGCATCATCATCATCGTCGTCGTCATCATCGCCGTCATCATCAGTTTCAGCATCACCCTCATCAGCAACCTAATCATCATCAGCATCAGCAGCATCATCATCAACATCATCCTCATCATCATCATCGTCAGCATCATCATCGGAATCGCCATCGTCATCATCATCATCATCATCATCATCATCATCATCATCATCATCATCATCATCATCATCATCATCATCATCATCATCATCATCATCATCGTCATCGTCATCGTCATCATCATCGTCATCATCACCATCACCATCATCCGCACCATCATCATCCGCAGCATCCTCCTCATCATCAGCACCAGCATCATCGTCGTCATCACCATCATCACAACATCATCAGCAGCATCCTCATCCTCATCATCACCAGCATCATCGACATCATCATCACCATCATCACCATCATCATCATCACAGCATCACCATCATCACCACCATCATGACAGCATCACCATCATCACCATCATCACCATCAGCATCATCATCAGCATCATAATCATCAGCATAATCATCCGCATCATCATAATCAGCATAATCATCCTCCTTATCATCGTCATCGGCATCATCGTCGTCATCATCATCACCACGACGACGTCGTTGTCGTCGATGTGGGCGGCGGCGGGGCGGGGCGGCGGCTCCCGCGCGGGGAGAGCGGCGGGTGCTCTAGGACGCGGTGGCGCCGCCCATGTGGCATAACAGCGAGCTGCGGAGAAGAGCCTCCTCCACGTCCGGGTGCGCCGAGGAGGGGGGGGCGGGGTAGCCCCCTCCTCCTCCTCCTCCTCCTCCTCCTCCTCCTCCTCTTCCTCCTCCTCCTCCTCCTTCTCCTCCTCCTCCTCCTCCTCCTCCTCCACTTCCTCCAGCCGTTCTGGCACAAGCTTTGTGCTTGTTGACGCGAACTTCAGAGCGGCACACTGCGTCAACGGGCCTTCTGGCTCGGATCTTCTCAGTGATTGACTCGGGGTGTATGACACCCCCGCCTGCTTTGCGCAATGGTAGTGCGAAAGGAGTCGGGCGTGGCAAAGGACGTGGTCGTGATGACTGGTCCAGCGGCACGGCCGCCCCCCCGTGGCACTACGGCGCCTACATGTACTCGGACAAAAGTTCAGAAGGATATTCCAAGTTCAAGTGCAGTTCCTGTGGCTGTGCGAAGAACCCCAAGGCGGCCCGTTACTGCAAGCATTGTGGGACTCCTCTTGCTGCTGTGCGCCCAGTCGAAGGTGGAGCCCCACAGAGCGGGGCGTGGTCGCAGGCCCCTCCTGGCGTATTCTCCGCGGCACCTTGGGCCATTCACTCTCGTCCTTACCCTGGGCCCCCTGGAGGTCCTGGGCAACCCGCTGGAGCTGGGCACGGAGGTGGGCATCCTGGAGGCGCTGCCGCCAAGGCACCCCCTCTCCCCGTCGGGCCCAAGAGCCAGCTCATTGCGAATGAAGCCAAGCAGCTGGCAGATCTCGCGCGGAAAGGAGGGGACCTCACCACAGCATCAAGTATGAGGCTGAGTTCAAGAAGCTGCACGCATTGGAGTCGCCCAAGCCTCCCACTCCCCTCCACCAGCGCGTGCAGCAGCAGTTCGCCGCGGTGGCTCGACTGGAGAAGGCGCTGGACAGGGAGGTGGACAAGCTTTTGGGCTGGAGGAACGACATCGAGAAGTTCGAGGACACGGTGCGGAGCATGCGTGAAGAGTTGGCCACAGCCGATCAGCAGTACAAGGCTCTGGTGGCCGAGCTGCAGCAGCAGGCGTCTGTGGCCCCCGCCCCCGCTGCGCCAGGCCCTGCCAAGCTCAAGTTGGAAGACTTGTGCGCTGACACCTTCGACCTGGGCGCATTCCTCACAGTGGACGAGGTCAGTTTCGTCGAGGGCGACGCCGAGCTCGAGGATAAGGACCGCGAAGAGATCGCCAAGAGGAAGGACGACCTCAACGCTGGCGTCTCCAAGCTCGCCAAGGACCTGCTGGGCCCCCTGGTGGCCGCTGCCAAAGCGGCCCGAGATGCGCATCGAGAGCACCTGGCTCGGGTTGCCAGCAAGCGGCGGCGCACTGACCAGGGAGCGGCGGCAGGAGGAGATGCTGGAGCTGATGATGAGCCGCGTGAGGCACCTGCCGCTGCCCCTGGCACGGCGGCCGCCGAGGCTGCCCCAGCTTGTGGTGGAGCCCCAGCAGCAGACGACGTGCGGGCCAAGGCAGAGAAGGCCCCTCAACCTCCTCCCCCCGCCCCTGGCGGGGTGGGGGGACGAATACCGCCTAGCCTGGCCACACATCCATGCCTGCATGCGTCTGCCAGTTTCAGCGCCCTCACGGTGAGCGCCCAAGGGAGTTTTCATTGCCCGCCCCCAACTTTTGATTCGGATCGTTACGCAATCCATGGTCTCAGAGCGCCTTCCCTTCTGGGTCGTATCATGACAGTGTCGACGGAGTGTGCAGCTCCCTCGACGCTCGGTGGGCCGACGCCCACCAGTGTTTTCAATCTGTCGCAAGCTGTAGAGGCCACTCTTGCCAAGACGGACAGAGCCTGTCCCCGACAGGCCGCTGGCGGCCACCACCCTGGCCACCGGCACGGTCCTCCTGGATTTTTCGGCTCCGAGGGCCACGAAGCTTTTACCAAGGCCGCGCCAGGTCTCGGGGTCGATCGCTCTCAGGCCACCAAGTTTTTTCCTTTCCACGCCCCCGAACCCAGCCCTGGAGATTCAAGTGTTGAGCTCGTCATCCAGACTGCCAATGTCACGTCTTGGCAATCGGACTCGGGAGGCGGCCTCAGAGCTTGGCCCCCCAAGTGTGGTGCACACGTTCTCTTAATCCAAGAGCACCACTTGCTGGAGTCTGAGCTGGAGGAGGCTACTGGCTGGGCCCATCGGCATGGGTGGAAAGCTATCCTTGGGCCTGCTGCTCCAGGAGTGGGACACGGTACTTCGTCTGGGGTTGGGATTCTGGTCCAGAATTCCTTGGGATGTCATGCTCCGCCTGGAGGCCATATCATCGATCAACATCGTTCGATCGGAGGTGTCGTGCACACTCCTGGCGGCGATCCCATCCTAGTCT